GAGCTTGAGTTACCTCCCTTGTGGAGGCTGGGACGGCACTCAACTGAGATCATTCTTATAAGTTCCTCTTGACTTATTAAGGTGTATGCAATATGACCTAGCATAACATACTATATCATGTACTCGAACACATATAATTCGGGTGCACTGCTTAAGTGTATGTAGTATAACATAGCATAGCATTCATAACATTAAATGTACTCAAACATATATAGTTCATGTGTACTATTTACTTTAAAATCTATTTATACTGTAGGCGAGATTCCTACTTACTTGATTTTCAAAGCTGGAATCCCTTTTTCGCCTATCAGCCTAGTCTCTTGCTTTCTTCTGAAAATGAACACCCATTAAGAGTGTGAGATTAATTGTTATTTGCTATTCTATTTTAGCAACTTATGAAGGAAAATCTAACCCTTTCCATAAGGCATATATTCCTTTTCTTTACTAAAGGATAATAAAGATTAATTTATTAAACCCTTAAAATCTTATTTTTCTTAATTTCCCTTGGTATGATATTAAGGCCCAATTCGGCATAGGACTTATACATGGCATTCTAACTTTTACGCCGCTGAAATTTATACTCCAACAGAGTCTCTTAAACTAATATGGGCATTGGACCCACATTAAATCTTCAAAATTCTACAGACATATCGTATTGGGCTCGTAGGTGCCCGTCGGGATAATTCACTCGGTAAACCACTATGTTCTTTAAAGAAAGCATTTTTTCTTGAAAACTTCCTTTATGAATACTTTCATTAAAATGAGGTTTAATGACATTGTATTTTACTGGAATTCTATCTCGGGTTCTTTTATAACTTTTTGTTGAAACCGACACTGTTTTAGTTTTGTCTTGTTAAAAACTGTGTAGTTTTTGAAATCTGTGTTTTACTGTATCTTAGAGTCGGATTTCAAAATTTGGTTCTTCGTGAAAATTTCTCGTCTCGTCGAGATTTAAAATTTTTGTTTTTGGTGAAAGTTGAAATTCGGCATCTAAAGGCCTCGTTTGGCTGAAAACCGTAGCTGCTGTTTTTCTTGAAACTGTTTTAGTCAAAAACTGTGCCGTTTTGGGAATCTGTGTTTTAGTACCTCTTAGGTTTGGATTTTGAAAATCTTTTCTTCAT